TATGCTCTTGCCATACAGATCCCAAGTGAAGCAGCACGTTGAACTCATTGCAGGAAGAGTCTTGTGCCACCTGATGCCTCAGGCAAGCGCAGAGCTCTGCTGGATGCTACAACATTGCCAAATATGCAGCATACGTTCACAAACTACATTCAGAGCCAGTCACACCAGTAGCGAGTTACAAACATGTATCAGAAGTTTCAGTTTGGACAAGCTGCAGAGGGAGATTTACATTTCATATGTAAAGATTAAGAGTTTGAAGAGTGGCAATGGAAGAAAACACCACCAAAAAACCCCTTTGGACCCTTGGTATTACCTTAAGAATATGTAAGAGAGACAATTACCATATGAGAGAACTCCTGAGGTGTTTAGAGAAAGGTATGTATTTAAGGAGGAAGGAAAATAGCTACCGGAGTGCCACTCTGAGGTTATTACACACTAAAATCCAAATAAATATTCAGGTTATACTTAACAAAAGGAATAAGAATAATTCAGATAATTTTTTTCCAGCAGCTGTGCACAAGATTATGGAAATGAGTTTTGAGACAGGTTCAGAACAACCCAGTTTACGTAAGCAAACCTGTTTTAATCCAATACATTTTTAAATGTGCTTATATTGGTTTAAGCTGCTGCGAAACCACATTAGATTGCTGGCTGCAGTATAACAGCTCGATTAACATACTGAAACGGCTCAATCCAAGGTCAGGCAAGGACCAGAGACTGCACAAGGGATGGTGCCGGATTGCAAAGCCACAGGTAGAGGAGAGCTGAGAACAGCCCTACAGGAGCCAGCATCTCCCCAGGCTTTGGCTGCTGCGGAGCCAGCACTCCCTACCTTCTGCTGCCCAAGCTTCACCACAGCAGGTTAAGGTGCCCCCACGAGGCACTGTGGATGTTACCTCACTGCTACAGCTGCCAAAATCTACATTTAAACATGACAGAAGTTAACTGAGGACAGCAGCAGAGATGTTCCCAGTGGTACACTGTGACTTCAGGGAAATCTAGGACTGCAGTGCCTTGGTTCTGGCATGCAGGCAAGACCAAAAGTGGATTTTAGGCATGAGATGCTGCTCTCATTATGGTCTAGCCACAGGCACAGTAGTACTCTGTGCACAGCCATGCACTCCTGCTG